CATATTTAATTAGTTTCCCTTGACAATGGCGCCAAGATGTCGCCGAAACGTCGGATTTATCTATCGTTAAAACGTGTTTTGTAGGCGTAAATTTACGTTTCAAGCAAGTGTCCAAAATTAAACGTTCAAAAATGAAACGTCCGAAATTTTTTGCGAGTTATTTATCCTCGGTTCATCGTTAATTCACACAGGCATTTATTAACCATTCTTCCTGTTTGTAAAACAATGGCTTGAGAAATAAGCGACGATGACATTGAAAAGTCGAAGATTATGTATTAAATGAAATATTCTCTTTGCCATCTCCTTAGCTTTAAATCACACACTTTAACAAGGTACAGGTCCTTATTTTCACGACAAAGTGCAAAATGAAAAGATGCTTTAAGATTAGCAAATGCACAATGTTAGGCTTGGTTGAAACACCGCGCTAACGTCATATCGAATTCAGTCCCCTGCAGTAAAAAGATGGCGGCTCTACATTTTACCACAATACGCTGAGAACTAAACACAGTCAGAAAAACCAACCACAGACATATTTTTGCGACATTCGTTCGTATACTAACACATTGTGTGAAGGTTTGACTAAGTTTACAGAACTTTTCTGTGCGTTTTTTACGGTTTTCGTCCGTCAACAAGTATGGATAAATGTACTCAGGGTCGCCATCGTTTAGTGAAATGGCCTAGCTCACCAAGAGTCTGTCAGTTACTCAGTGGTTAGAGCGCACGACCGGTATCTGGGAGGTCATGGGTTAGAATCCACAGTCATGCAAAGCTGAACTTAATTCATCAATGGAGTTCTCCATGATGAAAGCACGACGCTTGAACCAGGCCGTAAGCAACATAACATCAAATGAACATCCTGCACGCCCAAATACAAACTGACAGAAAACAGTTTAAAGATCTTGAATTGAAGCTTTCGGAAGAAACAAATGTAATGATTTAACAACTGTCACAGACAGTGGACTCACATTAAATTAGAGCTAAAACAAGTTATCTTACCCACAATGATTTATCTTGTTTGTCAGGTGAACATTTTTAACTTTGAAAACGCGTTCATCTGGGGCGGGGACTAGAACAGAAAATCTACGGGGTTTGGGAAAGATTCGGTCAGCATGTACAGAGGATCGCGGGCGCACCGACGCACCCACGTCTGGAAACTAAGCTTGGGTCTGATGCTATGATCACCCAATTGTTTCCCGAGAATGATAAACTTACTCAGTTCCGAGAAGTGTCCAGCAAACATCGCAAAAGCAAGACATGCATGTGAAATAAGCAATGTCTGTAAGATAACCATTTTCATTTCTATTTTGATGTGACATCTCCCTGTGCTTACATTGTTTCGCATCATCGTGGTTTTCCTGTGTTAGATTACATTAGTCAGTCTCAGTCCTACACGCCTTAGACACAGCGGTCAAATGAATGCCACTTCGGACTTCCGGTTTTCATTGCCCTGAAATGTTCAAGTCTGTCTGAGAATCTCACATAAGATACAACGACACAGAACAAAAATATGAGGCGACAAAACTGGTAGACAACAATTATCAAATTATGTGTGCACATTTGGCGTTCA